TTATCGTGTCGCCATCTTGCTGTTCCCTGGTTCTCTCTAGTTGGAGACTGTAGGGAATGTTAATTGTGCAGCACTCTGTATTGATCGCTTCTGTATCTTCTTCAAATTTCTAGATACAGTTGCTCCCTGGGAAATTAATTTTGTCAGAAAAACAACTCCCCATTTAAACTTGTACAAAGTATGTTTCTAGATGTCTGACTATGTAGAGTTTAACGAAATGCAGATGAACAAGGCTTTATGTACTCAAAAGTAAATTTTTGATTCTAGTGGGAGTATTTTCCTGAGAGTTGCTTTTTTTTTTTTCCTGAAAGACATTCTCATTTATTAATCAGTTTATTTTCAATTGAGTTATAAAATTATTTGGAAATTAAAGGCTAATAATTTTCCTTATGTTGAAATACAACGTTTGAAACTTAGAAACGCCTACTTGCAATTTTGATTGAGAACTTCGATTTTGTCTTAATGGTTCAAAGACAAGGAGGCTGGATGTGAGAATGCCTGGACTGCAGGCAGAATCACATCGATCGTTTTCCGTTTCTGTGTTTAGCCCTAGCTGTCTTGTATTATTTGTGTTTTGAAAACTTCAACTGTACTATTAATTTTGTTGTATCATTTCTATTTCTCTTAGCTATTTCGTTTTATTTTATATATATTTACAAGGCACTCTATTTTAAATCTCATGGAGCAAAATCCAAATGGCCTTGAAAATAGTCTCTCCTTTTTAAAGGTTTATTTGTTTTTATTGGAAAGTCAGATATAGGGAGAGAAGGAGAGATATAGAGAGAAAAACTTGCATCCACTGGTTGGTTCACATGGCTGCAATGGCCAGACCTGAGCAAATCTGAAACCAGGAGCTTCTTCCAGGTCTCCCACATGGGTGCAGGATCCCAAGGCTTTGGTCTGTCCTCCACTGCCTTTCCAGGCCACCTGCAGGCAGCTGGAAGGGAAATGGAACATCCGTGATATGACCAGCACCCATATCGGATCCCAGCAAATATTAGAATTTTTGCTACTAGGTTATCATGCTGGGCCCTTGGAAGTATTCTTAGCGATAGTAATTGAAATGCATATTAAATTTTATTTCAAATTAATTTTTGCCACGATTTACACTCTAAAAGACATATTTGAACATGCTAAGATGTAATGACTTTGTTTCCATTTTATTTCTTTCAAAACTTGAGCAGTCTGACTTCCTGCCATAAAATCCATGTCCCTCCATACAACTCACCTTGAATTTGGACTTACACTTTCAAGAATGTTTTTAATGGCAGGAATTTGAATGCTGGTTTTAGCAGGAGACCAATTATCTGATTATATGATGTGGATTAAGTGATTAGTATGAATGTCATTTCCCAGAAAAAGACAGTCCCTCCTGTCTTTTATGGCTAACTTTTTAAGAAGTACTCATCGTGTCCTTTACAATGAAAAATATATCCCTATAGCCACGGTACTTGTGTAGTTTTGTAGCTTAGTTCCTTAAATTAATCTTTATTCTCTCCCAGATTTGGGGTTGTGATATTTGTAAATTTCCAGAGGAGCCATGAGCAACTTGATAATGCATTTGCCTTTTGAAATCATTAGGAAGCATGCCAGGGAGTCTGGGATTTGAAAAGACTGGGGTATTTGAACAGGTGAGAGAATGGAAGGCACTTGAGTGTTTCGTCTGAAAGTTGTTGGTATACGTTTCTCTAAGATTTCTCAGCCAAGCCGGAAACAGGAAGCCTGTAAAAATGCTCTTCCTCCTGCAGTACTTCTTAAACTATTGTTGTAACAGGACAAATAAGTTAGCACTCAGACACTTTTGAAAGAGGCATGCTACATAAGCACACAGGACAATGGACAGAACAGCCTGTTCCAGGTTAAATTAGTTTATGATCAGCCTAGCTTCTGCTCTGCTAGTATTAACTGCATTAGCAGCACCCAGAGTACTCACTGCACATTAACACTCCATCTTGGATGTTCCAAAATGTGTGGTAAGGGCAAATTTGCAGTTTAACAGTCATCTCAGATGATTCTTATCTAACTGGTGGCTTAAATCTGTAACCCTATTTGATGCTTCATAAAGCTATAATATTTTTAATGTATCACTTAAAATAAAAATCCATTAAATAAAAAGGGTATTAGTTAAGCAACTCATGTAATTAGGTGTCTCAGATATACAGGGGTGTTTATGTTATTACATGTATAGGAAATGTACATGAGGCAATGGGCATGTGGCTGAGCTGACACCATTTGGGATACCTTATTAGAGTGCCTGGACTTGAGTCCTAGCTCTCCTCTCTATTCCAGCACCCTGCTAATGTGTACCCAAGGAGGCAGCTCATATATTTGGGTTCCTGTGCCCTGTATGGGAGACCTAGGATAAATTCTAGACTGCTGACTTCAGCCTTCTCCTGTCCCAGATCTTTAAACATTTTGAACATAAATCGTCACATGGTTGGAGCGTGGGTGTCTGCCTGTTTCTCTGCCTTTCAAATAAATAAAAATATTCACATGGACAGGAATGGAATTTAGCTCATTGCATTACATTGAGACTGATCAATTATAAGCTTGTTTTTACATTCTAGATGGTAGCGCGATCTGAACATCGGTTTTGTTGATGTGTGGATGTCATTACATTTTTTTCTTAGAAAATTTTAAAGATTTATTTAAATTTTTATTGCAAAGTCAGATACACAGAGAGGAGGAAAGACAGAGAAAGATCTTCTGTCTGATGATTCACTCCCCAAGTAACCATATGATATCTGGTGCTTTCAAGGTGCTGACTTCAGCCACTAGGCCACGGTGCAGGACCCTTTTTCTTAGATTTTACTTATTTTTGTTGTAAAGTCAGATATACAGAGAGGAAGGTCTTTCATGCAATGATTCACTCCCCAAGTAGCTACAATGGCCAGAGTTGCATCAGTCTGAAGCCAGGAACCCAGGTGCAGGGTCCCAAGGCTTTGGGACACCCCCTACTGCTCTTTCAGGGTTTAAGGAGGAAGCTGGATGGGAAGTGGTGCTGCCAGGATTAGGTTTGTAGCCTGTATGGGATCCTGGCACATTCAAGGCAAGGACTTTAGCTGCTAGGCTATCACACTAGGCCTGGATGTCATTATATTTTAATACAGGATTAATAAGAAAAATTCTCCTAAAATCAGAATTTGAATAGATTTTGACACGGGACTGTTTCTGAAGAAAGAGAAGTAGAAAAACAGAATTTTAGGATGTATACACTGATAAATTGAGTGACTCTGATTCTTGTCAGTTTTCTTATTCATATATATGATTGGTGAAGAACTGGGAATTATTTATACATGAACAATATCTTTTGTAAATCATAACATGAATACATTAAATAAATCAGGTTTGTACAAGAAAGACCCAAGTTTAGGGACTGGTGTGGCAGCCTCGTGGCTAATGTTCTTGCCTGGTTTATGCTGGGATCCCATACAGGTGACAGTTACAATGCTGGATGCTCCCCTTCCCTTCTAGCATCCTGCTTGAAGACTGGGAAAGCAGTTGAAGATGGCTCAAGGCTTTGGGACCCTGCATACACATGGGAGAACCAGAAAGAGCTCATGGCTCCTGGCTTCAGATCAGCTGAGCTCTGGCCATTGTGGCTGGTTGGGGAGTGAACTGGCAGATGGAAAATCTTTCTGTCTCTCCTTCTCTCTGTAAATCTAACTTTTCAATAAAAATAAATCTTACAAGAATGAAACTGCCAAGTTTGTATTATGTTTTCTTATTAATTATTAGTTAATTATCTTCTAATTTTAAAAGTCAGGTTTTCATTGGCTTAGACACAACAATGGAGAATTTTTATTCGTAAATATAATATAATTTAAAAATCTTTGAGAAATAATTATTTTTAGTGAAAGTTGTAATGAAAAATTTTATTGACATTTCTAAAAAGATTAAAATCTTGAAATACATCTTTCGTGTATTTGAAAAGCTTAACTATTGCAAGAACAAATGCAATTGATTCTGAGAAAGGAGGTCTTAAAGTTGTGAATTACTGTATTTGAACTATGATTAAAATACTTTTAGCCTAAGATATCATATGGTGAATCTTTTCCTAATTTAGCTGATTTCTCAATGAAGATAATCATAAAGGCATTGTAGGGAAAATACTAAAGGCAAAGGGACAGTTTTTCCTGAGAAGAGATTGTGTTCTTAAGCACCATGAAAGACAAATATGGATAAAGCCTGAAAACTGTTTCCGTTTATGTTGTGCACACTCTGCTTGAGCTGCTGTGCTAGACACTTAAAATACCATAATTCATTTAACCACGTATTGCTACCCACCAGTGTTGTGAAGTGGAGATTGCAGCAGGGGGAGATTATATAGCTGGATAACCAAGTTGCAAGACTGGTACATAGGACAATATGAATTTAAGTGGAGACGTGATGTTGAAGCAGTCATCTCTTTGCATCCTTGTGATGTCTGGAATTTAAATGGATTTGTCAACACTGCAGGGGTATGCATCCTTGAGTGTCTAAATGAGGTTTACTGAATTTGAAGATAATGACAAGGGAAACTAAGGTTCATAACTTTGAAAGACCTAAAGTTTCTAAACAACTAAAGCTAGTACACTCAGTAAGATGTAAATGTTAGGGGCTTATTCAGACCCATGAAAATCGTGGGGTTAATGAAGGAATTACTTCTCTGAGCATAGATACTACAAATAATATCCACCTTTCTGCTATGTACGAAAGACATATTGGGAAGATTTGAAGATCTAGAGAAAATACGTGAAAGATGAGCTAAAAGAGCAATGCAAGAAGTTAAATTCCTGGATGTGCACTTACATATTGAGCCACCGGATGTCGCTGTCGTACACAAAATAGGCGCTTTGCAGCACAAAGCCCTAACCCGCTGTTTATCCAAGGAGTAGGGAAAAAACTATGATCTGACATCTCAGCGTTTCTGATGCAAAATGGAAGCAGGAAATTGAGGAAATTCCAGAATGTGGATGTTCTAAATTGCAGATTTACCGACCTGTGAAGAGCCAAGAGCGATGTTCCTCTCTCCAGCCGGTGGCCCGGGATCCCAGCCCCTGCTGCTCTGGCTTCTGCTGCTCTTTGCAGCCTGGCAGGCAGGGAGCGGCCAGCTGCGCTACTCGGTCCCCGAGGAAGCCAAACACGGCACGTTCGTGGGCCGCATCGCGCAGGACCTGGGGCTGCAGCTGGCCGAGCTGGTGCCGCGCCTGTTCCGGGTGGCGTCCAGGGGCGGCGCGGACCTGCTGGAGGTGAATCTGCAGAATGGCATCTTGTTCGTGAATTCTCGGATGGACCGTGAGGAGCTGTGCGGGCGCAGCGCGGAGTGCAGCGTGCACCTGGAGGTGCTGGTGGAGCGTCCTCTGCAGGTGTTCCACGTGGAGGTGGAGGTGAGGGACATCAATGACAATGCGCCCGTGTTCTCTGCCAAAGAACAAAAGCTCACAATTTTCGAGTCTAGGCCTCTTGGCACTCGAATTCCACTGGAGGGGGCATGGGATGCGGACGTGGGGGAGAACGGGAGACTAACTTATAATCTCGTTTCCAATGAGTTTTTCGTCCTTGATGTTACAAGTAAAAAAGACAAAGGAAAATTCCCAGTGCTAATTTTGCACAAAGTGTTGGATCGTGAAGAAACTCCTGAGCTGAAGCTGCTGCTAACGGCGACTGATGGAGGCAAACCAGAATTCACTGGATCTGTGTTGCTGCTGATTGCCGTGCTGGATGCGAATGACAACGCGCCTACCTGCGACAGCCCTGTGTACGAGGTGAAGATGCTTGAAAATGCAGCGAACCATACACTCCTGATGCAACTTAACGCTTCTGACGCAGATGAGGGGATTAACAAAGAAATGGTGTTTTCCTTTAGCTCTTTGGTCCTACCCATCGTAAGAGAAAAGTTTCTAATAAATGAAAGGACAGGAGAAATCAAAGTGAACAATGTCATTGACTTTGAGGAATATAGTAGCTTTGAAATTCATGTAGATGTTACAGATAAAGGAAATCCTCCAATGGTTGGTCACTGCACAATCCTCGTGGAAATTTTGGACGAAAACGATAGCTCACCAGAGGTGCTGATCAAGTCTTTGTCAATTCCGGTGAAAGAGGACGCCCCACTGGGCACAGTCATCGCCCTCATCAGCGTGTCCGACCGCGACTCCGGCCCAAACGGACAGGTCACCTGCTCCCTCGAGCCCCACGTGCCCTTCAAGCTGGTGTCCACCTACAAGAACCACTACTCGCTGGTGCTGGACAGCGGCCTGGACCGCGAGAGCGTGTCTGGCTACGACGTGGTGGTGAGAGCGCGCGACGCGGGCTCGCCCCCGCGCTGGGCCAGCGCCAGCGTGCGGGTGGAGGTGGCCGACGTGAACGACAACGCGCCACAGTTCGCGCAGGCCGAGTACACGGTGTTCGTGAAGGAGAACAACGCGCCGGGCTGCCACATCTTCACGGTGACGGCGCACGACGCGGACGCGCAGGAGAACGCGCGCGTGTCGTACTCGCTGGTGGAGCGTCGCGTGGGCGGGCGCGCGCTGTCGAGCTACGTGTCTGTGCACGGCGAGAGCGGCCGCGTGTACGCGCTGCAGCCGCTGGACCACGAGGAGCTGGAGGTGCTGCGCGTGGAGGTGAGCGCGCGCGACGCGGGCGCGCCGCCGCTGGGCAGCAACGTGACGCTGCAGGTGTTCGTGCTGGACGAGAACGACAACGCGCCCTGGCTGCTGGCGCGCGGCTCGGGCGGGCCTGCGGGGGCGGCGGTGGCTGCGAGCGAGCTGGTGCCGCGGTCGGCGGGCGCGGGCCACGTGGTGACCAAGGTGCGCGCGGTGGACTTGGACGCGGGCTACAACGCGTGGCTGTGGTTCGAGCTGCAGGCGGCGCCTGCGGGCGGCGCGCGCTGCCCGTTCCGCGTGGGCCTGTACACGGGCGAGATCAGCACGACGCGCGCCCTGGACGAGCTGGACGCTCCGCGGCAGCGGCTGGTGGTGCTGGTGCGGGACCACGGCGAGCCGGCGCTCACGGCCACGGCCACGGTGCTGGTGTCGCTGGTGGACGGCGGTCAGGCGTCGCCGTCGTGGTCGCGGGCATCGGTGGCGGCTGGCGCCTCGGCCTCGGCCTCGGCCTCGGCCTCGGCGGGCGCGCTGGGTGGTGCGTCGTCGCTGGGGGACGTGAACGTGTACCTGGGGGTGGCGATCTGCGCGGTGTCGAGCCTGCTGGTGCTGACGCTGTTGGTGTGGGCGGCGGCGCGGTGGTCGTCGGGTGCGGCGTCGGAGGGCGCGTGCGTGTCGGGTCCGGCGGCGGCTGCGGCGGCGGCGCTGGTGTGCTCGAGCGCGGTGGGGAGCTGGTCGTGCTCGCAGCGGAGGCGGCAGCGGGTGTGCTCTGGGGAGGGCCCGCCCAAGGCCGACCTCATGGCCTTCAGCCCCAGCCTTCCTCCGTGTCCAATGTCGGATGTGAATGTAGCCGATCAATTTGCTGAATTGGACCATGCTGGAAAGGTGGGTTATAAAGTTTTTACATTCAAGTTCTTTCCGAATAATTTTTTATGTTATTTTTCTAATATTTATGTTACTATATTCTAGCTTCACAGCTATTTTTGAAAAACATGTCGTAATATCTGTTGTGTGAGAATTTGTGGCACAATTTCATTATTATAAGTTGTCTGTTGTATTTAAAGAGGAGTACTGAGCTTTGAATTTGAATTTGATCCAGATATCCTGAATAGTTAAAATTTTGAATGTTATATAAGTAACTAGCATATGATACTAGATCTTTTTTTCATAATTAATTTTTGGGTTGTATTCATTAATAGGTTATCATTTTAGTACAGGCTTATTTAATTTCAAAATAATATTTTAGTTTGGCTGTATCTGAAACTGAACTGTTCCTAGAGAACAAGTATTGTTTTAAATTGTTTTTTGATACAATTATTTGGCAATGGGCTCACCTATTGTCCTCTCCCAAATTCCCTCCCCTGCACTCCGTTCTCCCCTCTAAGGCCATATTATGTGTGCATCATGAATTTTCCCAAGTCCATCATGCTTCCACGGGAGTGTTTCCAGCATTGTTGGAGACTAACATTTCGTTAGCTTAATTCTTGTATCCTGAGTCTCTAATGTAGGTACAGTAAGGATTAGGTCTTTGTTGTTTAATGGCCCTGGCAAGAATAATGGTGAAGGTGACATTGACTATCTCAGGTGATTATTAACAATCACCCTATTGTGGATGCTTGACTGATGAATTGCATTACATGTTCTTTTTACATTAGGTACAGGTTAGTAACAGAGTAAGGTTCACATATGGTATCTCTAGATTTGACATCACATTATATTAGAGCAAACAAAATGAGCCCTTTTGGGATTGGCTCATTTCCTTTGGCATAATGGTTTCCAGTTTGGCCCAATTGGCAACAAAGTAATTTTGCTTTTTTAAATCTCCGAACAAAGTATTTCATTTTTAAAAATCTCCGAATATTATTCCATAGTGTTGATGAACCATAGTTTCTTAATCCAATTCTCTGTTGATGTGCATTTAGGTTGCTTCCATGTTCTTGCGATTGTTGATTGTGCTGAAATAAACATTGGAGTGCATGTTGCTTTGTCGTGTAAGAAGTCTTTTGAATAGATTACTGGAAGTGGTACTGCTGGGTCATATGGTAGGTGAATTTTTAATTGCCTAAGTGTTCTCCATACTGACTTCCATAGTGACTGCACTGGCCTGCATTCCCACTAGCAGTGGAGTAGGGGTTCCATTTCTCGCCAGCAGATGTTGTTGGTAGTTTTCTGTATGTGCGTGATTTGTATGTGTGTGATTCTTTCTGGTGTTAGGTGGAACCTCAGTGTTGTTTTTCTTTGAATTTCCCTTATTGCCAGAGAGCTTCAGCATTTTTGCATGTTTGTTACCCGTTTCAATTTATTCCTTTGTAAAATGTGTTGCCCATTTCCTGGCTTGTTTGTTTTGATGTTGTTGTTGTTCTGAATCTCTTTGTATATTCTGGAAATTAGCCCTTTGTCTTTTGTGTAGTGTGCAAAGATTGTCTCCCATTCTGTTGGTTTCTTTTTCACTTTGTTGATTGTTTCCATTGTTATGCAGAAACTTCTCAGTTTAATGTAGTCTCTTTTGTTCATTTTGGTCTTATTTTGCGTTTGGTGTGTTTTTCTAGGAAGTTTTTACCCACGCCTATATCTTGCAGAGTATGTCCAACTTTTTCTTCCAAAAGTTTGATGGTTTCTGGGTGTAGGTTTAGAGATTTAATCCATTTAGATTTGATCTTTATGTATGGGTCTTGCTTCTTATTTCTATATGCTATCAGCCAGTTGTCCAAACAGCATCTATTGAAGAGGCTTTCTTGTTTTCCCGGTTTGTTTTCTGTTTTCTAGTCAAAGATTAGGTAGTTGTGCATGTGTGGGTTCCATTCCGGATTTTCTGTTTTACTCCATTGATTTACCTCCTTGTTTCTGTACCAATACCAGGCTGTTTTGATTATCACTACCCTATAATATGTCTGGAGATCTGGGATTTGGATCACTTCTGCTATGTTCTTAATCTTCAGGATAGTTCTGGCAATTCATGGTTTTTTTGTGTTTCCAAATGAAATGAAATGTGATAACATTTTCCAGCTCTGTGAAGTATGCTCATGGTATTTTAATTGGAATCGCGTTGAATGTATATATTGCTTTTGGTAGTATGGCCATTTTGATGACATTTACTCTGCCCATCACATCCAGGAAGAAGGTATTTTTCTCAAATTTTTTCAAGTTGAAAAAGTGTTTTTTTGCTCCCGATATATTTATATCATCACATACATAATTACATGGCATACTATTCCTTCTAAATTCATTCATTTCCTTGAATGAATATAGAAGCAGTAGAATAACATTTGATCTTTAGTATTGCATTAGGCACACTGGATTGGACTGGTAAAAATGTACCAGTTATATAAAATACATCAAATATTTTCAACACCAATTTTTTTTCCTTTCTTGATCTGGTAGTTTTGGTGCCTGCGCCAGTGTCTGTTTCTCAGCTTTCTTGGAATAATATATCACAGGTATAGAAATCTGTCTAGTGATTTTGCTTTGGTGATAGAGATTCTTCATCATAGGCAAATATTGGTTCTTCCCCTTTATTGAGATTAATTTTATTTTTATTGGAAAGTCAGATATATATAGAGGAGGAGAGACAGAGAGGAAGATCCTGTCTCTGATAACTCACTCCTCACGTGGCTGCAAGGGCCAGAGCTGCTCTGATCCAAAGCCAGGAGTCAGGAGCCTCTTCCAGGTCTCCCACATAGGCGCAGGATTCTAAGGTTTTGAGTGATTGTCTACAGTTTCCTTTGGCTACAGGCAGGGAGTTGGATGGGCAGCAAGGCCACTGGGACAAAAACCAGCACCCATGAAGAATTCCTGTGTAGGCAAGGCGAGGACTTTAGCTGCTAGGCTACTGCACCAGGCCTGGTTTTTCCTATTTTTTGAAAATTTATTTATTTTTATTGCAAAGTCAGATATACAGAGAAGAGGAGAGACAGAGAGGAAGATCTTCCGACCATCGAGTCACTCCCCAAGTGGCCGCAATGGCTGGAGCTGGGCCAATCTGAAACCAGGAGTCAGGAGCTTCTTCCAGGTCCCAAGGCTTTGGGTCATCCTCAACTGCTTTCCCAGGCCACAAGCAGGGAGCTGGATGGTAAGCAGGGCTGCCGGGATTAGAAATGACATCTGTATGGGATCCCGGTGCATTCAAGGCAAGGACTTTAACCACTAGTCCACTGCACTGAACCCTGGTTTTTGCTTTTTTAAGGAAGGTGTCCTGGTTATGTTATATATGAATGGGGAGTAGTTGAAAAGAATTTGTAATGTGAAGAAGTTGAAAATGCTTGCTTTCATGCAAATATTAGCAGTGTGAAAACCAAGGGAAGATTTTTTTTGCAGATTTTTTTTCTGATATGGTATCCTATAGCACAAATTAGTTTACTTGATTCTATTAGGCAATTTATTGTTGAAGGAGCTATATACTCAGAAATGCAAGTCAATTAAATTGTGTTGTAATGAAACTATGCTCTCTCCTATTGCATTGCTACTTGATACCCATGATTCCACTTTAAAAAATGAATTCCGGTTTTGATAAGTACCAAGGCAACTGATTAGTTAGTCTCACTCTGGATCTTAAGGAATATTTTGTCATTTTCATTTCAGTACGAAAATTATATTTGTGTTTTGGTGCTTATTTATAAGCAGCTTTCAATGAAAAATGATATCTTCAGGTTTAAGAATACCAAAAAAGATTAAGGAAGCAGAGATTTAAGTATTGCATTGCTTTTAGTGTTAATACACTTCCTAAGGTCTCTCTCCAAGGGTTAGAGATGATAGATGATTAAGTAATATAATTAAAATGTATCTTTATTATATAATATATGTTAATGAATGTGCTTTTCTCTCAGATATATGACAAAAATCCCTTGATTCACAAACCAATGTATTTTTCTTTCATTTAGTAAAAACGCCTACTAACCATAAAGTCTTAGCTCTGTAGGGCGTATATCAGGATTAAATTTTATAATTTCTTGTCTTTTAAAAAAGATTTATTTATTTCCTTGAAATGTGCAAGAGACAGTCATGCAGAAACCTGGGTCTTCTGCTGGTTAGTTTTTCAAATGACTATGAAGACCTGAGTTCAGGCCACCTGAATCCAGGAGATCTGAGCTCCATCTGAATCTCCCATGGGCTATAAGGGACTCAAGTACTAGAGCCATCTTAAGCTACATTCCCAGGAGCATTAGCAGGGAGCTGGATAGGAAGCGGAGCAGCCAGGGCTTGAATGGCTTGAAGGGAATGCCAGCATCACAGGCTGTAGTACACCTGCTTCCGATTTCTAATCTCGTAGTATAAATGATAAGAAAAAATTGAACCTCTATGATGAAGATATACTTGTCTGGTTCTCTAAATTTGAAAGAGAAATTGCTAATCATTGTACACATATACTATGGGGTATCTTTAGTAATCTTTAGTATTAGGATTCTATGGTTCGGGCTTGGCATGGTAACTTAGTGGCTAACGTCTTTGTCTTGTATGCACTGGGATCCCATATGGGTGCTGGTTCTAATCTCGTAGTCCCACGTCCCAACCAGCTCTATGCTTGTGGCCTGGGAAAGCAGTCGAGGATGGTCCAAAGCCTTGGGACCCTGCACCAGTGCAGGAGACAAAGAGGACGCTCTTGGCTCCTGGCTTTGGATCAGCTCAGCTCCAGCTATTGCGGCTGCTTGGGGAGTGAATTATAGGACAGAAGATCTTCCTCTCTGTCTCCTCTCCTCTGTGTGTATCTGACTTTCTAATAAAAGCTTTTAAATAAAGAATTTTATGTTTTGGTAATTGGTGTAAGTATATCAAATAATTTTTCGCTTTATGCTTTACCACTTCTTTTCATTCAGGAGTTTTAAAAATTATTAAATTTTTTTTGCAATACAGTTTCTGATTAAACTTAGAGCATTAGTATCTTTAGAGAATACACCAAAGGTACAGCTAAAGGTTTATTAAAAAAAGAATCAATACATAACTCAATCTTCAGTCATTCCCAAAAGTACATATTG